CCCTCTAGGAATCCCTCTAGGAATTTAAAAAACGTTTAGCAAAGTTTCTTCACAACTATGAAGTTGATCAAGTGAAGAAGTTTAAGCATCAAAATGTCAGCCGTTTTAAGTTATTTAGAAAAACCCTCAAGGGTGTGTGGAAAACAACCCCCCCCCCCACTCGTGTATAGGGATAAGTACAGATAACTATGACTGGTATATTGAAGAATGTGTGTAGGATATATCTTGTAGATCATTCTGTCAATCTATACAGCTCGTCATTTTCTTATGCATGGACACGGCAGTCTAAAATAGTTAGGTTTTATGCCGCTCTTTCTTATGCATGGACACATGCAGTCTAAATAGTCTTAATAAAACAAGAAAAACGAAATTTGCTTACATTACTTGACATGTTTTCCAAGATTAAATAAAAAAAGTGTAAAAACAGAAAATAAAGAACACACAAAATTGCAATTATTTTACTATAAGAAAAGCACTTTATTCGAAAATTATCACTATTATTAATAATTTTGTCGGACACAAAACTAAGATGACACTTATGACGTCAGAATACAGCTGTTCTAAGAATGTACAAATTCTACGTTGCCATCTATTGTACTAGAATCTATTAAGTCTAAACTATTAGGCTTTGCGTCGCTCTTTCTAGTTTTAGTTTTTAAATTTTACATACACAGTGGCCATCTTTTCTGAATATAACTGAACACAACTTTTAAATTTCGCAGATTTTCTGTTTTCAAAGGTAAATCATTTGTTAATAATCACTCCAATTGTATGCTTCAACGTCTTTCATTGTTAAAGAACCCTTAGGGTCATGTTTTGACGTTTATTGGTAACAAACACTGATAAGAAGAGGCCTAAAATGCCATGACAAATATATATTATAAGGATATAAATCTCTTTTATGAATTTATTATATTAGAAATATATATATATATATATATATATAGTTATTTATATTCATCACTTGGCGTTGCGACACTTTAAAGTTGAGGCTGTCTAAATATTTGATGACTAACTTGTGATTTCAGTGATCAGGACTGATCAAAGTTATGTAGATATTTATCTATATATTATGGAACAAAATTTAGTAAAAATGTGCATTTTAAGATTCTAGTTTATGAATCCAACGGCGCAAAAAAAGCTTTCCCGTCTTGTATCTTTGATAAAAACGTCACACGAACATTTATATGTTCTTCAAATTCTTCAAACGAACAGATATGAAAAAGCATTTGTTAAAATTAGTGTTACCATCGAAATTTTCGTTGAACGAAATTCGCAAAAATTAACGAAAAAAATTCGTTAATTTTCGTTTAACATTGTCGCAAATTTCGATGCGTTTTCGACGGAATTTTCAACCTCATTTTCGCGAAAATTTTTGATAAATTTTCGTTTGATTAAAATCGAAATCTCTCCATTTCGCATCAAGATTGTATTTTTGCGAAAAAATAAGATGGAAAGGTCGTTGGCTGAACTAAGTTTTCGCGAAAGAGATTGTACAAAAATTTGGAAACCCTTTAAGTTAAAATTCTGAATACCTTGATTATGTAAACGAACATAATATTTGAAAAAAAAATCAAAGCTACACCCTTAGGGCTGGGCACGTTCCTACTTTTTTGAAATCGTTCCGTTCCGTTCTAGAACAAGGGCCTTCAGCTAAATCGTTCCGTTCTCGTTCCTCTTTTTTTATCGTTCCGTTCTCGTTCCGTTCCGTCCCGTTCCGTTCCGTTCTGAGTAGAAGAACAGTCTTCCTGTTCCGTTCTGTTCTTGGCATTCTTAGTTGAAGAACGGTTGCATCCCTCTTGTTCTGTTCTTAATTCAAGTTCTAAGTAACGGACAATTACATCAAAGACAAAAGTTTTATAGAAAAGAGTTGGTTAAAAAGTAAAAAAATTACAATTTTTAAATAATAAGTTCCTCACGGCCGTAAATAATACTTTAAATTATATATTTTAAATTTAGGGTTAAAAGAATAAGCTTAGATAATTCTGAGCAATGTATAATAAAAAAATCTTTAACTATTTCTAGATGATTTAGAACACATTCCTGATTTAAAATGCGTTCCCAACTTAGAACAAGTTCTTGATAATAAGAACGCGTTAACGATTTTAACCGTTCTTTTCAAACAATTCCCGTTCCGTTCCGTTCCGTTCTTTTACTAATCGTTCCAATATTTTTAAGAACGCGTTCTAAGCGTTCGTTTTTTTTCGGAATGAGGGGATCGTTCTTGATCGTTCCGTTCGTTCTCGGCAAAGAACGATCGTTCCACCGTTAACGCGCCCAGCCCTATACACCCTATGCGAAAAGTATTAATAAACATTTATTCAAAAAAACTTAACTTGTAGACACCCTGTAAAAAAAATGTTAACTTTTCCCACGATTATTACGAAACACCCTGTGTATTTTATAGTTCCATTAAAGCGATTAATCTAAGAAACCTAGGCCTGTGCTCTACACCTGAACTAAACTGTTCCTAATGAAACCCTGGTTTCATATTAAATGCTTCGATACGGTCAATATATTGAAGCGTTTTAAACTAATATAGATCCCACGGTTTAGAACTCAAATATCTGTGTTGATCTATTTATTCATTCATCCTTTCACCTATTCATCCTTTTATTCATCTATTTACTCATTCATTTATTCATCCTTTCACCCATTCATTTATTCATATTTTCACCCAATCATTTATTCATCCTTCCATATATTCATCCTTTTATTCATCTATTTACCCATTCATTTATTCACCCATCCTCCTATTCATTTATTTATATATTTACCCATTTATTTATTCATCTTTTCACCCATTCACCCATTCACCTATTAATCTGTTCATCCTTTTCTTTATTCATCTATTTACCCATTCATTTATTCATATATTCACCCAATCATTTATTCATCCTTCCACCTATTCATCCTTTTATTCATCCTTTTACCCATTCATTCATTCATCTTTTCACCCATTCATTTATTCACCCATCCTCCTATTCATTTATTTAAATATTTACCCAATGATTTATTCATCTGGTCACCCTTTTCTTTATTCATCTATTTACCCATTTATTTATTTATATATTTACCCATTCATCCTTCCATCTATTTACCCATTAATTTATTCATCTATTCACCCATTCATTTATTCATTTACTTACCCATTCATTTATCCGTTTATCATGCCTGAGTAAACTTTAAATTTTAGATTAGTGTTTATTAATTTAATTATCCATTTATTCGATCATATATATGTATATTAAACAGGATGTTTAAAGTTGTAATTCAATCATTTATTCGATAATACTGAGCTAAAATAGGCAGAATTTTTCCCCCTAAAATAAACTGGGTTCCAGAGACAATTTTCGGGGTGTCTTAGAGTCAAATTTGAAGGTAAATACAATACATCATAATTTTTCAACCTAATTCTATAGAGACAGATATTTTTAAAAATTACAGCTTAAGAATTAAAAATTTAAAAATTATCGTTAACGTCATTTATGACAAATATCAACATTTGCCCAATTTTCAAAAATGCAACTTTAAATCTTAGAGAATTAACAAAGTTGATACACTATTCATCAACTAATGAGATAGAGCCGACCTTGAAGATGAAAGATCTTTGGCTTTTTACCACAGTAAACTAAAGACCCTCGGCTTTGTACCACAGTAAACTAAAGATCCTCGGCTTTGTACCACAGTTAACTAAAGGTCCTCGGCTTTGTATCACGGTAAATTAAAGATCCTCAGCTTTGTACCACAGTAAACTAAAGATCCTTGGCTTTGTACCACAGTAAACTAAAGACCCTTGGCTTTGTACCACAGTAAATTAAAGATCCTAGGCTTTGTACCACAGTAAACTAAAGATCTTTGGCTTTGTACCACAGTAAACTTAAGATCCTTGGCTTTGTACCACAGTAAACTAAAGATCCTCGGCTTTGTACCACAGTAAACTAAAGATCCTCGGCTTTGTATCACGGTAAATTAAAGATCCTCAGCTTTGTACCACAGTAAACTAAAGATCCTTGGCTTTGTACCACAGTAAACTAAAGACCCTTGGCTTTGTACCACAGTAAATTAAAGATCCTAGGCTTTGTACCACAGTAAACTAAAGATCTTCTCGGCTTTGTACCACAGTAAACTAAAGATCCTCGGCTTTGTACCACAGTAAACTAAAGATCCTCGGCTTTGTACCACAGTAAACTAAAGGTCCTAGGCTTTGTATCACTGTAAACTAAAGATCCTTGGCTTTGTACCACTGTAAAATAAAGGTGCTTTGTCCTGAACTGTATCAGTCCAGGAACAACTCGTCAGCTATAAATGTCAACCAAGACACAAACTGTTCAGCAATCAATGCCAATCCAATGGGCACAATCTTATCGGCTCTGAATGTCTCACAGAGACACAAGGGTAGCTATCAAACAAGCTCTTAAATGATCAATGCCAAACTTTGGACACAATCTCATTGGCTCTGAATGTCACACAGGTACACAAGCGTAGCTATCAAACAAGCTCTTAAACGATCAATGCCAAACCAATGGGCACAATATCATTGTCTCTGAATGTCACACAGAGACACAAGTGTAGTTATCAAACAAGCTCTTAAATGATCAATGCCAAACTTTGGACACAATCTCATTGGCTCTGAATGTCACACAGGTACTCAAGCGTAGCTATCAAACAAGCTCTTAAACAATCAATGCCAAACCAATGGGCACAATCTTATTGTCTCTGAATGTCACACAGGGACACAAGTGTAGCTATCAAACAAGCTCTTAAGTGATCAATGCCAAAGCAATGGGCACAATCCCATCAGCTCTGAAAGTCAATACAGACACAATCGTAGCTATCAAACAAACTCTAAAACAATCAATGCCAAACCACTGGCCACTATCTCATTGGCTCTAAATGTCACACAGGAACACCAGCGTAGCTATCAAACATGCTCTTAATCTATCAATGCCAAACTCCAGGCATGATCTCAGCTTGTATGTTTCAACAAGATCCAAGAGTCTCTATATCAACAAATTTATTTTAGATATGTTACAAGTTAATGTGAATCGATGTAATTACAAGTTCTATGTTGATATATATATACAGCGTAGTTTAAGTATAATATACATATGTATAAGGTTAGCTAGGATAGATATAACATATTTAAGCTATCTCCACACACGTTTACAGCATAGTTCAAGATGAATTTACATATTTAGAAGATTAAAATGGATAGATATAAATGTAGTTAATCTAATCACAATGCATATTTTAATCATGTTACGTAACTCATGTTTATCAATATCGTGTTACACAATATTATTACAATTACACAATTTTATTACAGGAATAAATAATTTTGATATTTTGACGCATTTTTAATCATAAAAGATCAAAATATTCCGATTTATTGTAGTTAGTTTTACATGGCTTTAACTATTCCTCATGCTTTATAATGCTTTTTTTGTAGTTTCGAGTTTGACCATTTCAAAGCTGTAAAGCGTGTGATTTCAGCCTCCAACTGAATGGAGTAATTGGTAAAATTTCAATGTGAAGATTAAAGATGAAAACGTGTTTAAGTTGAAGCTCATCAAACATATATCTTTTACACTGTACACTCCGGTTCAAGCAGCTAGGGCAAGCTATACCGTACACAAAACAGGACAGTACAACACCAAATAAATCATTCCGTTCTAGGGAGATTCTAGGATTATCAAACTTTTATCCAACTGACCAAATTTACAAAATCAAACTAAAAAAGATTTTTGATTCGGTGCAAAAGACCCTCTCTCAATAATTTTACCAATTTACTCTCATTCGTAAAACTTGTATACCTCCTTAACACATATTAAGAAGTAGTTATAAATTGGCTAAGAATTGTTTACATTTTTTTATTTACATAGTTCTAAACATAGGTTAATTAACAATAACAGATAGAACACTAGATGTCGTCTTTTCAAGATTTAGGTTTTTTTCGTTAACAATAACCCTGAGGCAGAAGCCCAAATGAGTAACGCGTATACTCTCTCTCTGTGTCTTGTAATTCAACGCCGTATGCTTAACTCCTTTGGGTTTATGCCTTGGGGTTATTGTGAACAAAAACCTCAAAATCTTGAAAAGTCGACATCTAGTGTTCTTTCTGTATTGTAATTAATCTATAGTTCTAAAGGTAAACTAAAACTATTTTTACAACCTTTTCTAGATTTTAATTTACAGTAGGCATTTCTTAATTTAAATATAATTTTTCATACAATTTGAGCATAATTATAATAGTTTACAACTATCTATCTATCTAGCTATCTAGCTATTCCATTTTAAATGATGTTTATGCTGCTTTTGTTCTCTGAACCATTTGTTTCTTTTCAGGGTTATTTCTTTAAAATGTTGTTGATAATTTCTTTTATACAGATATATCTAAAAATAAAACCAGCGGGAATAGGGTTAAAGATCATAACTAATCAGTAATATTTCAAGTCAGTTGATGCAGAGCACTGTATTTTATAAGTGTTATTTTATATTGTGTGACAAATACCATTTTAAATCAGCTAAAGTGTCATTAATATTAGCTGAAAAACATCTAGTTTATCAGCGCAATTTTGATTGAGGTAAAGCTGGTCATTATGAATCAGCTGACCTCCGCCATTTTGAATAATCTGATTAACACGTGGCATGCTACCTGAGTGGTTGATTGTGTCCGTCCCGCAAACTTCTAATTTTAATCAGTTGCTCTTCTGCACAAAACACATTGTTTTAATTATTGCTATGCACGCCTACGGATTTATCCATCGGGGTTTTAAATGTCCATTGGTTTAAATTTGTTCTAAGAGTATATGACATTCCTTTGGAAAGAGCTGGGTTTAACATGAAAAAATGTATAAATCAACTTTTAGATAAGAGCGGGGTTCAATGAAAATTGTTGTAGATATATGCATATGCGCATACCAAAAAAAAACTAGCTGAAATAGGAGTGTAAAGGAAATGAGTCTAAGTCACAAATTTAAACATTCTAATTCCTATTTCTTTACAACCTGATTGTGTAAACCTTTGATATTTCAAACTATGTTTTATGTTAAATCAAAAAGTCTAAGTCTACAGGGATTAGAAAATTTAAGTTTATCGCAAAAACTCATTTCCTTTGAAAAAAAAATTAATATTGATTTTTTTTTGTATTTAACATTAAGCAAATGCTAATTAAGCACTCTATTTTTCATTACACCTTATTCAGGCTGACATCTCTTTTACCCAAATTAGATATTTAGATGAACTTTTTTGAAACAGAATATGTTCCTGAAATATTTATTGGATCCAGGAAAACGTTCCAAAAAACGTTCTCAGTGCAAGGCGGTGTAGTTAAGGAACCCTGAAAAAAATCTAAACTTTAAAAAACTTTTATTGTTTTTATTTTTATAAATATACAAATATAAAATAGATAAATAAAAGCCAATATTCAACTACATATGTTGTCAAAAAAATAAATACCAATAATTAACCATATGTTTCCAGTTCGCATTGTCCCCCCGAATTTAAAAAGAAAGTTTATTTAATTAAGAGAAACAGACGACATTTTTCTCTTGTTGACAATCACTGGTTTTCAAGTTAAAGGTTCTGTAATTAAGTGATTCCTAACGGTATCCTTAACAGTTTTGTCTGATCAAGTATTATTTAGATATTAATGTGAAAGTTTTGAATACTGATTATTTTTAATTGGGATTTCTGAACAAAAGTGATTTAAAGGGACTATAAAGAAAAAATGAAAGGGGTATAGGCTGAAACCTGAGAATCTCAGGTGTTGATTGAGACCCATAAGAGTTCTATCTGATGTTCCTGTCTCGAGAAATTGATATAAAACTGTGTCAAAATTATACCAAAACGTATCTATATATGAAAGATGTTGTATACGTTTCGTAGTATAAAACAGATCATATTCAACAAATACACAACCAATCTGAAAACAGCGATATCCCAGAGGAGCCTGAGAAACTCACATGTGCTCCTTTTATTACTGGAATTTAATAATTTTTCATTTTCAATAGATATAATTGATAATATTTTTTATGCGTCCGGAACATGTCACCAGAACTCCAACCAATGGCGGTGCGTTATTTTTGTCTCCGTCTGTATTACGTGGGCATTGGAGGTAGTTCTGGTCACGTGATACGAACGTATATCTTAGATATAAACGTTTTGGTATAATTTTGACACAGTTGTATGTCAATTTCTCGAGACAGGAACATCAGATAGATGTCTTATATGCATCAATCAACTCCTGAGATTCTCAGGTTTCAACCTATACCCCCGTTCATTTTTTTCCTTTACAGTCCCTTTAAGGGTTACTGTAACTTTAGTATAAAGTGGTTTACCTTATAATGCAGATGATCTGCTGCCCCTTTAGTAGTTAGTAAACTGTGCAGGGACAGATGGCCTAAAACAATTAAAGAGAATCAATGAAAAAGTAAGTCCGCCATATAGGATAATTTAAAACTATCATCTTATAAAACGTTTTTAGAATCAATAAATATAACTTTAGAAAAGGCTATACAAATGTAAGGAAATAGAAATATGATTAATTGTAAATTTTAAAGGTTTTAACAGGACATAACAAACGTGTTTTTCGAATTTCTTAAAGATTATTATTATTTTTAAACATAAAAAAATAGATGAAATATTTTTCTGACGTGGAAACACTGGTTTTTAAAGAAAAATAAACTGAGTCTCACCTATATCTACGTCAAAGTGATCTGGATGTCCGGCCAATTTCAATAATCCATCAATCACAGGTGCATAGTTAACATTTGTCTGGTTGGAAACCTAAAATGGTAAGATATTGTAAAGAGTACTATTGTATATTTGGAGAAAGAACCCTGCTACTGCTAAAGTATCTAGGTATACCTGGAGAAAGAACCCTGCTACTGCTAAAGTATCTAGGTATACCTGGAGAAAGAACCCTGCTACAGTATCTATTGTATATTTGGAGAAAATACCATGCTACTGCTACAGTATCTACTATCTAGGTATACCTGGAGAAAGAACCCTGCTACAGTATCTAGGTATACCTGGAGAAAATACCCTGCTACTGCTACAGTATCTAGGTATACCTGGAGAAAGAACCCTGCTACTGCTACAGTTTCTAGGTATACCTGGAGAAAGAACCCTGCTACAGTATCTATTGTATATTTGGAGAAAATACCAAGCTACTGCTACAGTATCTACTATCTAGGTATACCCGGAGAAAGAACACTGCTACAGTATCTAGGTATACCTGGAGAAAATACCATGATACTGCTTTAGTATCTAGGTATACCTGGAGAAACAACCCTGCTACAGTATCTAGGTATACCTGGAGAAAGAACCCTGCCACTGCCAACCCATCTGACTCTTGAGCAGCTGAAGGGAAGTCAGGATACTAGGAAAAAAAGGAAATTAAAACATATTTGTCATATGACAAAATAAATATATGTTTAAAGATGATATACCTTAGTATTCCAGTGTACAAGATGTATTTCAGCCGGGAACTCATATCCGGTTAATCTATAAAATCATAAGAAGTTAACAAAAATGTTCATAATTATCTTAATTTGAAATTGAACGTTTCTGGCATTAAATTGGATTGAGAGCACTCCATATAATTAAAGAAATCTTTTATTTTACTATATTATTTATATGAATAATCATATAAAGTTTTTATTTTCTTACTTTTTTCCATTATTTTTTTTTATTTAGCTTGCCATAAAAAAAGGAAAATCTGTTATTTTTGGAGGATTGCATTTCCTTAATTTAACGATATTTTCTTGAACAAATCAAAAAAAAATTCTTCGATTTTGAAAGAGGATTGAATATGAAAGGGAAAAAAAGGAGTGGGGGAGGGAAGGTTAGATTGTGGGAGGGGGCTGGGTTCTGGATTTTATTATATTTGTTTTATATTTTATTTGTTCTTCTGAATTCAATAAAGTTTGATCTGTGAGTGTTATTGTTCTAAAATATGCAAAGCAATACCATTCCTAAAATTACTACAGCACAAACCAAGAAAACAAAATACAAGGTTTTTTTTAACAATTGAGAATTTATGGTAAAAGGGTGCTATAGCTATTCTCTTAATTTCGAAATTTGAAAAAAAGGTTATATAAAGCAAATAGAATCACAATAATAATCAAATAACAAATCGCTTACTTGGCAGTCATTAAACTTTTGATGACTGCAAAAAAAATTTGTTGTCAAATGTAAGCGGTCTTTGCAGACAAATAAGCGTTTTCTGCTGACAAATAAGCGGTTATTGCTGACAAATAAGGGATTTTTCTGACAAATAAGGGGCGTTTTCTGACAATTAGCGGTTTTTGGTGACAAATTTAAGCGATTTTTTGCCTCTTATTTGGTGGGCATCCAACTTCAGTTGTCTAATAAGCGATTTTAATTAAATGTAAGCAATGTTTTGTTTCTTTTATTGGTATTCATCCAACTTTTGCTGTCTATATAATTTAAGCTAAAACTTTTCGAATTTTGAGACAAATTCAGAAAACTTTTAAACAAAAATCAAACACTTTTTTTACCTGTGTTCAGAACCACGAGAACTATCACTACCCCAATGCAAGTGAAGTGTTACAAACGAAAACCTGGAAAAAGCAAAAAAAAATATTCCACCTATTTTCCACATTTTCGATAAGAATAAGGCATTGTCATCTTTACAAGAAGAAATTGCACTTACAGTCAATTAAAATTGACTTTTTGTAGAGATATTAATAGTACAGGCAGACAAATGTCCATGATTTAACTAAATTATACCATTTATTGACTACTTGAATGCTTCAACTTAAAAGTATCCACAATGGATATTAAGTAAAGGTTTCTTAGTTTTTAGTTCGCTCAAACAAAGGAATTGCAAGTCTTTACCACAAAATCGTTTTTTCTAATGTCTATACATTTGCAACAGGATGTGGTAGATATTACATTTTTCAAACTATGAATTATTTTATTAAATAATTTAAGTTTGAAATATCAACGATTTACACCATCATGTTGCAAAGACATTGGGATAGAAAATTTGAGATTGTGGCAAATTAAGGACTAATTCATTTTCTACAAAAAAGAAATAAATGTCGTACTTTTCTCCAGGTGGAAGACTACCTCCGTGTATCATCGGATGTTCATCCTCCGGCACTAAAAAAATATTCTTTCAAAAAAGCAAAATATTAAGAAATTTCTGGGGAGTGGGGTGTAGTTTATTTATATAATGAAGCAAAACATTCGTGTATGTATATGTTGCGTATAGCTGGCCAAACGGCTGGACCGATTGGGCTGAATTATTTGTTGTGGACATTCATGGGTGGCTAAAAAAAAGGAAAATGTTTTTTAGTTTTTTCCCCACGGGCAACGCCGGGCGTTTCAGCTAGTAAGATATAATTTAGTTGGTTAATATATTTATACTCACATTGTTTAATAACTAATGTGTGTTTTAGATCTGTTTCTGTGACATAATATATTCGAAATTTTTTCTTGTTCACTACACCATTAATTAAAGATTATAAAGATTGTGAATATACTGTCAAGTGACATGTCAGATTCACAAAGGTACCATTAAAAGCTTTTTCTGGACTCTGGTCAAGAGTGAATAAGTTGTCAACATGTTTTTATTTTTAAAGTAGGATTATTTTATTATAAAGTGATTTGCTTATTTCTACTATCAGAAGCATACAATCGATAATATTTTCCAAATTATGGATTATACAAAGCTTTCACGGGTACCAATCAATCGGACATGCCACACTTTAATCAAAATATATATGTTTATTCTTATAATAATATAACTTACCATTCTTAAAGCTAACGGTAAAGGTATGCCCATTCTGATTAACTGTAGCATTATGCAATGTTCTAGAAGAAAAATATTTTTTTAATCCAAAACTAATAAAAAATTAAAATCAAAAAGTTAAAATTTATAATAGAAAAATTCCAGAGACTTTTTTAACCTGACAAATTGTTTAAAAAAAGAAAAAAATTCTAAATTTTTACAGATTTGTGCTAAAAATAATATTTTCATGCCTGTATCCTATAGTCTTCAATTCTCCAGCTCCATAACTAAAATGATTAGAATTTGATAAATTACAATTGATAAGAAATTAGAATGTGATGTTGATCTGCACAAATTGTTTCTGTTCTCTTTCTTGAACATGTTTTTCAGACAATCATTTTAAGAAATACGTTTTTGACTTTGAGTAAACTGGCAGAAAGTTTTTCAAGTGTCAAGTATGAGAGTGCTTAAAGGGCCAAAAACTAGGAGNGCGTCAAACATTCCCCCTCTAGTCTGTTTAGGTTTAAAATTAGGCTTACTGTCCTTTAAAGTGTTGCAGACTAAATCAAGATTTGAATCAAGGTCTAAATTGAGGTCTAAATTAGGGTCTAAATCAAGGTCTTAATCCAGGTCTTTATCAAGGTCTAAATCAAGAACTAGAAAGGCTTATATCTGAATATTGTCCTACCTAGGCTCTGCAATAGATCTAGGTCAAAATCAAGAATTAGAAAGGTTTGAATTAAGAATTAGAAAGGTTTAAATCAAGAATTAGAAAGGTTTAAATCAAGAATTAGAAAGGTCTAAATCAAGTATTAGAAAGGTTTAAATCAAGAATTAGAAAGGTCTAAATCAAGAATTAAGAAAGGTTTAAATCAAGAATTAGAAAGGTTTAAATCAAGAATTAGAAAGGTTTAAATCAAGAATAAAAAAGGTTTAAATCAAGAATTAGAAAGGTTTAAATCAATAATTAGAAAGGTTTAAATCAAGAACTAGAAAGGTCTAAATCGAGAATTAGAAAGGTCTAAATCAAGGTCCAGAAAGGTTAAAATATCACGTTGGACTAGGGTCAATTCGAATTCGAACTCGACCCTTTGTACCGGCCTGAGTGACGATGCACTATCATATAGACCTATTTGACCCCAATAGGTTAGTTTAGAGTGTGCTATAGTCCTACCTAGGTTCTGCAGTGAATAGATCAAGATCTAAAGGAGATTGAGCAAACTCATTGCAGGTAGGATAGTGTTGACCCCATACTACAGGTCCTGGGTATCAATATTATTATTGTTATTATTGTTATTATAATTCTTCTTCATGTTATTATTATCGAAATAATAAAGCTCTTCGCTCATTTATATGTTCGCTAAAGCTGGCCAAACGGCTGAAGTGAACAATATTGGATAACATTTTTTTAGGGCACTTTCACAATCATGATTTAGGAACAATGCACGTGTGAACGGGCAATACCAGACAATTCAGCTTTATATAGCCATTATTATTAATATTATCATAATCATTATTACTATTACTATTATTATTAAAGTTATAATTTAGTGTAATTTATAAAGTTTAATTACCATTTTCTGGCAGGTATCCCCAGTCGGAGCTAAGAACAAGAGGCAGGGAGCCTAAAAAAGTAATAAAGTGTCATTGATTTTTTAAAATTTTTTTCTTTCAATAAGAATTTTGAATGATTTATAATAATGATATGTACATAAAATTTACAAAGAAGAAAGGCGATTATAATATTTCTAAATCCTATTAATCAAATTAATCTGATTTTCTAAAATTGTATTAAAGTTCCAAAGTTCTTAATCAAATGTGACATATTTTATAAAAACCATTTATCAAAAGAAATTTTCAACTTTTGTGGTGATATTTTACAAGAATCACATTTTTTTGGTATTTTTTGTTATAAAAGAACCTAGATTGGCAACGAGATGAATTTGCACTTTAAAACCGAAGCTGGAAAAAAGTGTGAGCTCAACTGACGAATCATCTGCTTCTAGAGAGGTCAATACGAGATTTACCTAGAAAACAGGCAAAGAGAATTGAAGACGACATTGATTCCTGAAATTTTCTTGTGTAATGATATCCTTATACATGGGCGGTTTCAGGAATTTAGTCAGGGGGGGGTAAAAAAATATTTCGCCCGAAGGGCGAAAAAATTTTTTTACCCCCCCCTATATTGATTTTACCCCCCCCTATATTGACCCCTATATTAACCCCCCCTGTAAAGCTAAAAAGTTCTATTTACCCCCATAACCTTACTAAAATTACAGTTTATTTTACCTTGAATTACAGGGTAGGCAAAAAATGTCTTAAAAATCCATTTATTAATCTAAAAAAATATAAACTTACAACTACATCCCTGAAAACAAAAATTATCTCATGAAATATGAAGAGTGAAGTGAAGACTAAATTAACTTCTGAATATAAATTTACAAATTTTATCTGTTAAATTAGATTGTTACTCATACATACATTTTAGTTTTACATAATATATCATGTTAGTCTAAGGAAGGGAGAATTATTTTTATTTTTCTGCTATTTTTTTTATCTTTTAGTAAGTAATGCTTCTTAGATCATGCTAATTTTTCTTGTAGGAGACTGCAATTAGTTTCTGTGTTAATTTTAGAGTTAAAAATAAAAGTATACCATACTTCTAATACTAGCTAATGTGCCCGGTGTTGCCCGTGAAATAAATAAACTCTATTTTATACTAGCTAANGTATTCTCTAGTATCCAGATATCCTTGTATTCTCTAGTATCCAGATATCCTTGTATTCTCTAGTATCCAGATATCCTTGTATTCTCTAGTATCCAGATATCCTTGTATTCTCTAGTATCCAGATATCCTTGTATTCTCTAGTATCCAGATATCCTTGTATTCTCTAGTATCCAGATATCCTTGTATTCTCTAGTATCCAGATATCCTTGTATTCTCTAGTATCCAGATATCCTTGTATTCTCTAGTATCCAGATATCCTTGTATTCTCTAGTATCCAGATATCCTTGTATTCTCTAGTATCCAGATATCCTTGTATTCTCTAGTATCCAGATATCCTTGTATTCTCTAGTATCCAGATATCCTTGTATTCTCTAGTATCCAGATATCCTTGTATTCTCTAGTATCCAGATATCCTTGTATTCTCTAGTATCCAGATATCCTTGTATTCTCTAGTATCCAGATATCCTTGTATTCTCTAGTATCCAGATATCCTGGTATCCTGAACCTTGATATCCTGGAAGCCTGTGATCTACTGAAGTGCTCCTATAGGAAAGGTCATCTTTTCAGCTTCCTTCAAGGAATCTATAATTAGATTCAGACAATAAAGAAACAAATTACGGAAATAAAAAAATGAAGAAAATTGAAAGAAAAAATGGAAAACTAGAAAAGGAGAATTTGAGCTAAAACCTGGAGGTAATTATTTTCTAAAATTTGAATTCCCTAATTATTTTACAAAGGTTGGAAATTTTCCACCAGGGGTGTCTCGTGAATGGCGGGGGGGGGGGGGGTTTTTCTGAGGAAATTTCCTACTCGTCTATTTTAGAAATTCACTTGGTAAAAAAATGTTAAACCATCCCCCCTAGACCCTAAATAAATAATTAACCCTAATTACCGTCTGATTTAATTGTTTTACTAGTACGCTAGATTAGTTTATCATTTCGGTTAAGCTTGTGCTGTTTGTTTTAGTTTTTGACTGAAACATTAACCTGATGTGTTTAAACTACAAATCATGAGCTAACTTCATGTCTTTTTTTACATTTAATTGTGTTAACCGCTGTATATATTACAATCGTACTATGAAGCGTATTTATTTTGAACGAAAATACTAAGATGACATATTTTGGAAAATCTTCGCTTGTCCCGGCTCTTTTCAAAAAGCGTTAAAGGGACTAAAGACATAATTCCATTTAAAGACACTAGTTTCAGTAGAAGTAAATATTTCCATTTACTGATAGCGCCGATTGAAGGATTCATAACTATAATTGGATAATGAGATAGATGGAAAGATATATGTCACTGCCATTGGTACGTTCAGAATAGACAACAAACACATGACTGAACCCTGATTGGATCAGGCGCTACTGGACTCGGCATACAGGAGTGAAGAGGGATATGCGCTAATTTCCCAATTGCAGGCATTCTCACAAATCTGCAATTTTTCCAAGCGGCAACTTCCCAAAGGTTACGTTAGGCCTTATGAGGCTTCGCAGGTTGCATGGGGGGGGGCCTAACGCTGCGGCTAGGATGGGTGAAGGTGGGAGGTCGAACGCTGTGGCTAGGATGGGTGAAGGTGGGAGGTCGAACGCTGCGACTAGGATGGGTGGGGATAGGAGAGTGAACGCTGCGGCTAGGACATAAAGCTGCTGCTTGGTAAATTCTATTCTATCAGCATTTTCTCTTCGATAAATCAAAAATTAATTTTTTGGCATATTTACAATTTTTTTCGTGTATTTTTTGAAATTTAACAAAAATCAAAATAATTTTGATGACAACTTTTTGCATTTGGGAACATTCATAAACGCTCCCTGGGCCAACGGGCAGCCGTAGTACATTTGAATTTCCGAGCCGGGTCAACCTTTCCGGTCACAGTTTTTACTGTATCACCCGGACATTGGGTATATAAAGCAGACACTCAAGAGGACTTGCCGCGGTGCAAGAAGGTTGACGCGGTCAGATTAAATTTACTTGTACTGATGGGCCAAGGGTATTGAGGTCCCACACAAAATTTGTGCCCGACCGGTTCAGCCGTTTTGACGTTTATTTGGTTACAAACAAACAAACTAACAAACACCAGAACACACAAGCAAAGTTATATGCATTTAAATCCCATGTTTGATGTCCAAATATAACAAATGATATATCATTGGAAAGCTCTTATGCTCTTTTTTAAGAATCTGCAAAAATTATTTGCAAATTGTAATATTTTTTGTTAAAATCTAGTTATATAGTAAAAATGTTTGAAAACAAATATACACTTTTGAAAAGCCTTTGACCCTGCCATTTCAAATATGCAAAAAATGTTGTCAAAAGGTAAATAACGTGATCTGTAATTAAGAAAAACTAAAAATGTGCACTGGAACGCTCTTATGCTTTATTTTTAGAATCTGCAAACAATTTTGCAAATTTGCAAAAATTAATCTTTTTGCAAAATCTAGATATATAGTACAAATGTTTGCAACAAAAAAATGTCCAAAAATTGATAAAATATACATTTTTTAAAAAGCCCTTGACCATGCAATTTCAAATATGCCAAACATTTTGAATAACCTGATGTGTAATTAAGAAAAACTAAAAATGTACAAATTTCTTTTGACGGGTTGTATGAAAATAACTTGCAAAAATTCCTATGCAAATGCAATCCTTTTCCTTATGTCATAGGCTTTCCAAAAAACTAAAAAGGATAAAATCTGAAAACTAAAAGTGGGTCAAAACAAAGATTTCGTTTGTTACAGGAAAAAGTAGCATTCAGGCAGTGTGCGTCAGGACGCAGGCAGTTAGTATAAAAGCCCTGTTTTAGATCCAAAGGGAGGGCTTTGGTTATTTAGGAAAAGTCAGAAATTTTCAACAGCCTCAGGCCAATTCTTTTTGAGTTATGTAAAAAAATACAAGGGGGGTCAAATTGACCCCCCCCCCCCCCCCAGCAGGAATAGGATTAAGAACAAAAAGTTATTTTTACACTGCTCGAATAGGTTTAAAATGGTAGCGATAGATTGAAAAAGAATTTTGCAGCATAGCAGAACATTTTATAGTTTTTTTATTACCTATAGTTTATATCAAAAAAGGAATTAAGTCTTTGCAACAAACTCTGGTTTTTTAATTCCTATATCTTTGCAACCCAATATGGCAAACCTTAAATATTTCAAACAATGAATGTTGTTACATTTCATTATCTGAGTTTGAAATATCAAATGCCTAAACCATCAGGTTGCAAAGATAAAGAGATAAGAAAATTTGAGTTTTTTTCAAAGACTTAATTCTTTTGTCCATTCAAAATGCTTACAGGTCACGCAGCTATATCATGTCGTCTAATAATAAGCTTAGTTTACTGTATACAATGCAACACATGCCCAATCACGATAAATGTGCCTTTTTTATTGAACAAAGGTTGACACTGCAAAGTTCTGGTTAGTTCGGGTTACTTCAGAAAAGGAATAGTACAGACGTTCTTGATTGATTGGTTGATTGATTGGTTGGTTATTTTATGTATATAATTGCAAATGCAAAATCCTAAGAAGAAGAAAAACCGTGGCCCTTTTTATATAATTCGTAAGATCAGACTCAAAGAAGTTCGTAGTAAGATTTCGATTCTACTGGAGACCACCGGAGGGATTTTATTTTCACTGGAGGGGTTTCAAAAAATGGTTTTTACAATTTAAAACTTTACGCACGGTGATTTACATTCCACTGGAGGGATTCAGATGTCCTTCCTGGAGGGTTATAATTCCACTGGAGGGATTCAGTTATCCTTCCTAGGGGTTTATAATTCCACTGGAGGGATTCAGATATCCTTCCTGGGGGTTTATAATGGCACTGGAGGGATTCATATATCTTTCCAGGGGGTTTATAATTCCACTGGAGGGATTCAGTTATCCTTCCTAGGAGTTTAATCCAGTGGAATTATAAACCCCTAGGAAGGATAACTGAATCCCTCCAGTGGAATGTAAATCACCCTGCGTAAAGTTTTGAATTGTAAAAACCATTTTTTCAAAACCCTCCAGTGAAAAAGAATTCCCTCTGGTGGTCTCCAGTGGAGTCAAAATCTTACTACGAACTTCCGTGACTCGTAAGATCATGATTTTTCTGTAACATTAAAAATACTTTTTGAACCTAATAGAACATATTTGTTTTGAGATTTGAAACTGAAATTTTTTTCTGATTTGTTTATTTGTATTGTTTTACGACTAAAGAAAGATGTTCGTTGATTTTCAAGCAAATTTTCAAAATAAACATAAAAATAAAGGAGAGAACAATTCAAATAAGACATTATGATCGGACATTGAAACAGACAAACACACAGATATAAATACTTTGTATATAGTTAAAAATACATTGATCAAAAGATTGATTTTATACCACAGTTTTTTAACATAAGTACAAGAAGTACATTGTCTGTCCGCGTGCAATGCTTTATATGAGTTTAATTGTCCGAACCTGCTGAATAAATTATAGATTTTGTACTTTTTAACATTGAAAAGTCAAGTAGTAGTGCTTACCGCACTCTTGTATGCCGAGTCCATTAGCGCCTGATCCAATCAGGGTTCAGCCATGTGTTTGGTGTTTATTCTGAACCAATAGAAATTGTATGGCGGAAACATCTATCTTTCTATCTCATTATCCAATTTGAGTAAAAATCGGCGCTATAACAGTAAATAGAAATATTTACTTATACAGTGACCGTAACGGTTTAACTGATTTATAAACCATATATCAATTTCCGCTTTTTGACCCCATTTTACTCCAATTGTTTTTGAAAACTTTTTAATTTCTCTTCTATTTTCTAAAATAAACCTTTAAATGCTTGTCCTACCCCGAACTAACCGGAAAGAGAAGCATTCGGTTTCTTTTATATGAAATCAAACATGTTTTCGTTTATATATCTACAATCTTTAAACTTACGGATTTATTTATTTTATACTTTTTCATTCAAAAAGTATATGCCAAAAAAAAATTATTTAAGAAAAAGACTATACAATAAGGGGTCAAATTGTGATCGAAAG